GAAAACTTCGAAGTAGTGATGGGTGAACTGTGAGAATCTACTGGAAACCACTGTACTCTACCCCTTACATGGATGAACTGTACGCAGAGCTACGGGAAGAAATCAAGCCTAGAACACCAAGGAAGACAGGTCCCAACGGTGTTAAGAAACCGATCTTCACGAGGGAGGTGTGAGGCAGGGTGTGAACTGCTACCCTCCACTCTGCCGTTCTTCCCTGTGTGTGCTGTGCCAACCTGTTACCCAAGACGTCCCACGGGCAGTGGCCAGCACAGGGTTAGTCGACTGGAGAGGGCAATATGAGCCAGCTCTGCTCCTGCCCTTCAAGTCTAACCCTTGCAGAGAACTTTACAGAACCAAACCTGTAACACATGTGACAGAGCAAGGTTGGACAGAGTCTGTGCCTTTTCCCTTGAAGGAGGGTCTGCTTCAAATAACCGAGAACAGAGTGAAAGCTTCCCACTCCTCAGGGAGAGCCAGAGGAAGCAGCCAGGTTGCGGAGAAGAAAGGCCTTCACCGGGCGCTGAGGCACACAGGGCCTCTCCTGGCTCTCCTGGCCTGTTCTATGGGAAGAGTACTGGGGTGACTGATCCCAGGGGCCTGGGCAACACCTCAATGGTGAAGTGAGTGAGGCCTGGCAGCAGGACAGGGACCTCTTGGCCACCACTGAGGATTTAACCCTTTATCCTTAGCTGCGTGACACCCAGGATGCATTTTTGTTGATTTATAGAATGGGAATCTGAAAAGGAAATATGTTGCTCTGGGGAAAGAAAGATGCATTTTTTTATAAAACTGAAATTATATCCTGAGATTTGTCTCTAGTCTATTATCGGAAAATAAGCTATATTTGAAAGATTTTTACTCATGAAGACAAAATACATCCACTGGCACTACTGATGTATTGCTTATAGTACTATCAAGAATACAGCAAATTTTTAGCCATATCAAGCAAATCCACAGCTCCTTATTGAATATTTACAAAGATTCACCTTCTAGAACTAAGCTCTCTGGAGTCCTAGGAATACCTGGTTTTTAAAGATTCCCCAGGCCAGGGAAACCTCCCTCCTGGGAGCTAGATGTGGGGGCAGGAGTGAAAGGTGCATGTGCAACTGTAGGAGAGGGCAGCGCGTTTCAGTGGCGCCACAGGTGCCATTCACCGACCACTGGCGCTCTGAAGTGGATTTCACTTCTTCACCAAGAGGGTTCCTTCTAGCTCTTCTCTTCATTCTCTCCAAACTATATTCTGAATTCTCTGCTTTAAGTTACCCATGGAGATCAGACTTTCTTGCCTGGTAACAGAATTCACAATAGGATGTATGTGTACTTTTAAGTTTGAATTTCCATTACTCGGTTTTTCAGCTTCTCTATCATTTCAAAAAGACAGCTTCCTGCTTAAGTTTAAAATGGTTGTTGGCCAAAGGAAAAGGACAGAGTGGCATGGACTCAGCTGGGCGTCTTCTCATCACCTGCCATCCAGGTCCTGAAGAGGACACCGCAAGCAGAGGAAAGCCCACCTCCCACCACCTAGAGCGTCACTGGTCAGGGTGAGCGTGGGCTGCAGGCTTCCACCAAACCCAGGTCTGAAACCGGCAGAACTAATAAGGAAGACTACTGCAAGAACACTGCTCACTTGGTACACTGTACTTACTGCAGCAGATTGCCTGCTTGTCAGTAGATGGCAAAATCCCTCAGGCACTTGTAACGAGAGGAAGCTCCTTCCCCTGCGCCTCTACACTGCTGCAAGTGCCATGCACAGGTGAGGTTACACAGCCAATCTGTCTACATCAAGGATGCCTAGGAAGCTGGGAACACACTGTGCTCTAGGATCTCCCCACCCACCTCCTCCCGCCAACAGTGCAGGGAGTACTGCCCACTTGCAGACAGTTGTCAGACTGGAGGCTGCCCTTCCTTAGAGCCACACCCTTCCTCCATCACCTTCTCAGTCCATGCATACCCAACCCTTTCTTAGGAGCAAGAGAGACAGATGGAAACCCCTCCTGATCCCTGCCTCACAGGTCACTCTGGGGAGGCCAACTCTGCCTCCCCACCCTTCAAGCACCAGAACCTAATTCTCCACAATGCAATTCAGTGACCATTTCTAATTTTACCAAATTTCAAAGTTTGGACTCTCAGCCCATCATGAAATGGGTGCATTCCATTGACCTGCATCCTCTGCTGGACACAGACTCCTTGGCCCAGCAGTTCCATTGTACTGCCAGGCACAGTCACTTTCCCACAAGGCCAAGTCCGTCACACGTCATCCCACTAAAGTACTAAAGGCCACACTTCTGCTGGGCTTGAAACACGTTTTCTTTCCATGACTCCATGCGGATGAAGAGCATATACTCATGCCATATACCTCACACAGCTCTGCTCCAATACTCTCTGCCAACAACTCTTTGACTTGAATGCTACTGAGGAGGGATCTGTTCCACCGGTGTAGCATTGAAACCATTACTCAATCACTAAAAACATTATTCAAGGTGAACACCATTTGAGAACAGGGACAAAATCAAAGGGTGAACCATAACACTCACCTATAGTTTTACGAGGTCATAGATGCTCCACTGGGTAGAGCAGTAAGAAGCAGCCTGGAAAGCAAGCAGCAGGGGACAGCGACTCTCCTGCCCATCCCTGAGGAGTTCCCAGGACCCACATGAGTCCTGGCCTCAATGTTCAGCAGCACAGGTCTACATAAGCTTTCCATAGCTTTTCTTCACAACATTTTGGTCTTAGAACTCTGAAAGACTTCAAAGCATGGACAGTTTCTCTCACATACAAAAGCGTGGAAGTTAAAACAAGCAGCCAGCAGGGGCCCCACAGGACACAAGTTAGATATGGTATGTGGCCAGACAGAGATGTGTCACCATGGGATGGCACATTCTCTGCCCCTCCACTGTATGCTCACTAGCTCAGCCTTCCAACTCGGGACAGATAAACAAATCCCAAATTCATTCCAGGTATCTGCCCATATGTACAAGGGAGCCATGGGCCTCGCCAGCTGTGAGTCTGATCTCACAACATTTTTACACAATGGAGTGGAAACTTCAGGTAGAAGGAAAGCTGTTCTTCTCCAGCAACCCAACAGGGGACAAAAGCTGTATGCATTGCTTCCACAATCACACAGCTATGTGGCTGGACCAGACAGACTCTGCCATTTCAATCAGCAACAGCTGGTATACCCTTGAATTGCAGGGATCAATTTATTAAATGCTGGCAGGGTGCTCAGTACTAGAAATTACAGGAGAGCACAGCATTGTCCTTTCATTACAAAAGGTCGCAGTCTGGCATAGGAAAGGACCATGAAAACCCACAAGCAGATACTCAGGCATCTTGCCTGCAGCCAGCCCAAGACACACTGCAGGAAGCTCAGGAAGGGCTCAGCATGGGCATTCAGAGAAAGGTCCACAAGGAAAAAGGTATCCCTTTAAAAAGACAAGTAAAAGAGACACCACAGGCTCAAAGGAGGGGTCAGGGAAGGTGGCAGAAGACTAAGTACCCAATGATATGGCAGGCCAGGCATGTTTTGTATTTGTCTCAGCAACTCTGTGCAGTGGGGAATCATCACTGGAAGGAATGAATAAGGAAATAAAGTAGAGAGAGTAAAGTTGCAGATATGCTGTAAAGCTTGCTCCTGTGACTAGGGAAGGGCAGCAGACAAAGTGGAACTTCACAATAGGAGAATTTGTTTTCCTAAGCTGGGAGACACCTGAGTTTTTCAAGCAAGGGAAAGAACCAGCAGAAGAGATCAAGTTAAAGACAGAGGATGGAAATAAAAGCATAAACAAGGGAACAACCACATGAAGAGCTGGATGTTCCCCAGAGCCCTGACTGGAGGTCCCAAGAGCTAAGAGCAGTCCTATAATTTTGAAGTGAATAGTTGAAGCTGACACATTTTAGTGAGCTTCCAAATCATTCCTGGCATCTTTACAACTTAAACTCTCAATACACTAAAGTGTTAAAATGTGGGAGCTACATACAAATTTGTGGAAATTTACGATCATTAGAATCTTGAAGAGATATAATCCGTGTATTAGAGAGCTCAGCAAGAAAATAATTTCAAAAAGCCACATTAAATGAACACTAGTTTGATGAGTTCACTGTAAGAACACCAGGTTCAGCTGGTTATAAACTGTCCCATCAGAGACAACACCAAGAAACCAGGATCCAGAACACACCAGATCCTAATGAGCAAAAGCCTGAGGCCCTATAGCACATGTAACTAACTACAGCTGTGCCAAACGCGCAGCATTTATCTGTCACATTCTGTAACAAAATGGCACTGCTCTTTCAGAGTCCCCACAATCCCTCTATGTACTTACCAGCTCACTTAGCACTGCCTGTGCTCCAGTCACAGGCCCAGAAGTTCTGAAATGTCCTCATGGAGCAAACGCAAGTCCAGAACAGCTCACTTATAACCATTTAAGTTTACCCAGAGAACCACTTAGGCAGAATGTTTTTGTACGTACTATCTGGAGGGCTGCTTGGGTGGGTGTCATTTCAGTCAATTTTTGTACTGAATAAATTTGATAAAATTGAAAAAAATTGATAAAATATTTGATATAATATTTTGATATTTTGTGGTATATTATAAAAATTAATGAAAAAAATTATGCCATTTTTGGTCATTCTGTATTTAAATAATTGCACTGGTGACCCTAACCCCTGAGAAGGCACCACGTTTCACTGACACCAATACAGGTGATAAAAGGGCCGAATGGTTTCGTCTTTTCTAACTGTCATACCATCAGAACAAGACCAAGAATCACTCAAGTTTCTCAGAACTGAGACAGAGCAGTGGTTGTCAACATCAGACCTTGTGCCCACATGGAGCTTCTCCAAAGATGAAGTCAAACCACCACCTCACGAACAGACCTCAACTAAACACACCTTCTTGATCTTTTCTGTGAAATGCTAACTATCATGGAGAAAGGATGGAAAAAATGCTGAGCCTTTGTCATAGTATGGCCTTCTGGGGCTACAACAACTGATCATATCTGTACCTGTAAGTTTATGAGCTGCGCAGTTGATTTTCCTTGGAGGCACAAGGCCTGAGCAATAAATGCATACAAATCCTCCAGGCAAAGAGTGTCTACCTGAAAGTGACAGAGAAAAGATCAGAGTTAGGCTATATTTAAAAACTTCAATACTTCTTATAGATTGCTGTAAATTATTAAATATGGGCACACACATACACAGGAATGTACACAGGCTCGAGTGCACACCACACATGCCCAATAGACATCAGATCCTGAGCGAAAAGCACAGCCTCTTCCCCTGTGCCCTCTACAACTCCTGGCTGCAAAGCTCTCCTTGGTGTCGTTTGGCTATGCACGTATATCACAGACCAAGCTGGTCAGGGGAACTTGGACTCCTATCAAGGTTTCTTTCTAGCAAGGCAAAGAGGTCCAGAATATCTGGAAGTTACCAGGAGGTGCCAACTGAGTTTGAGTCTTTGAGCAATGCAGGTGATTGCTGTAGGCACAAACTGTATGGAGCAGAAAATTCAGGGATTTCCAGACAGAGAGCACCCACAACTAGGCTGGACTGGGATGGTCAGGGTAAGGGGACAGATCCATCTTCAACAGCCCCAGATGAGACTTGTCACTTTGTATCACAGTCTGAAGTAAATCAGGATTCTATAGTATGAGTTTCTCCCTTTACATGTGAATCATGGACATGAGAAGCTTTAAAGAATGGTTACAGTCTACACCTCTATGCCTGTTGCCTCCACACTCCTGAGCTGTCCCTGACCTTACTAAGGCCACTATATCTGCCACCCAGCTGGAAGTACCATGGTGGCCACTTGCCAAGTAATTCCACTATCACACAAGAACACAAGAGCTCTGTCCCAGTTGGAAGGAGCACACTGTGGAGAGCAAGGCTTAGAAGAAATAAATGAGAACAATAACAAATCTATCAGTAACAATTTCACTGATCTGTTCTAAATAATAAAATGCCAGTATGTCTACCTGTGATGAAATTCCCTACCATAATCAGAAATGTCATTTTATTACAGACTCCTGCTGACCCCAACTTTGAAATTCCTCTGGAAAAATGCGAGAGACATTCAGGCATGAGCCACCCTCCCACCGCCACACAAAGGGCCACTGAGCACTCTTACTGACCCATCACTACCTGTGGTGTGTTTATTGTATAAGCAAAACCTTTATACAAAGGACAATAATTCTAACAGGGTGGGGGCAGGGGGCACAAATGTATGGGATTCATGAGCAAGAAAAAAGATCCTAATTGTAGAAGCCAGAACAAGCACCAAGTATATTTTTAAATCCATAACTACTCTCCCTCTGCTTAGACTGATGTTAGCTGGCATGTAATTTTACTTCCTGCAGTTAGAGACCATTGAAGGTTGATTTTACACCAGCAGCCTAGAAGAAAAAGCACCAGGTGCCAAGTTTTCTCACAGGTAATCTATATCACATCTGACCACTTCTGCAGTGGACAAATGCGAAACTACCAGAAGTTGCCAAAGACACTTAGTAATATCCAATTCTTTCGACTTCCAATAATGGCCATCATTATATACGACGTTACAAACTATCTCTTTACTATAGATTATATAAAGTATGTATCATTTCCAGAATATAAATGTATCCTTCCAGAGTATTCCCTCAAATTAGTATTAAATCTTTTGTTAACTTAAGGTTGGCCCTAAGGAGAATACTGCATTTCTCACTGAATATGGCTACACAATTTCATCCCACATGTATATCTAAACATCTAATTTAACTTTATGAAAAAAAATATATATTTGAGTGCTGAGAAATGAACCCTGCACTTTGCACAAACTAGAAAAGCTCTTTTCTTATTTTTTATCTTTTGAATTTTGGGACTGGGTCTTGATAAGTTGCCCAGGCTGGTCTTGAATTTGCAGCCTGCCTCAGCCTCCTGAGTAGCCTGGATTACAGGTGTGTGTTACCACATCCAGCATGAAACTATAACATTTTGATAAATTTATCCTTCTAGCTATACTGAGAGAATAATTATCTGCATGTTGAAAACATAGCACCTTTCCACCCTGATACCACTGACTCATTGATGACTTCTATCTGTGGAACTGACTTTTCATCTCCTTTGAAATCAAACCACCACTCTACTTGCACCTACATCCACTGTAGACTTTCTATTTAAGAGGTCAATGTCAACAGGGAAAAGGTAAGGCAGAAATTCTCTTGCTTCAGGGTCTTATGAACTGTGATGTGAAGTTATTCTGTGGGATGCTCAACTTTTTCTGACTGAAGTGGACTTTGATAAATGACAATCACCTGCAACATTATCAAGAGTAGAAGAGCTACACTGAATGAGCGTGGAGGGTGCTAAAGCCACCTCCAGAGCAATTCACCACTCGTGCTTCAAGGGTGCCGAAAACAGCATTCCTAGCTACACATGCCACTGAGAGCAAAACATTCACTTTCATGGGTGAGAAAACTCCACTTTCTGTCTAATCACCACTTCCTAATTCCCACTATGGATTGCCTTCAACCACAGACACTCGCAGATTAATAAATAATGTACAGAAAAACAGTAATTAATAATGTATGTGCTTATTAAATATGTAATATCAAAAGAAATGTCACCTAATATTTAAATATTACATGATTCATGCCATTCTATGTTGACATATTTTGCTAAATTTGGTACAAATATTCTACTCAACACAGACTGACTGATCATGCCAGGGCAGACCTATCCTTGGGGGAGAGGAGAGGAGGTGATGGAAGGCTTGGAAGGGTCTAGTGGACTGGTGAGAAAATCTCAACAGGCTGCAGAAGACATGCAACAACAGTGAAACAAACCTGTCTTAAGACAATACAGCAGAGTGTGAAGCAACGAGCAAAGAAAGGGGTCTTTCACTAAGGTGAAGACATTATTAGGATGTCGGAAACCATCAAGACAAATCTTTTAATTGACCCTTATGATTTTCTTCTATAAACAAAATGTAAAACTAATGAGGAAGGAACAGATCAACTTGCTGAATGATCCAAAAATGAAGGAATCCTACTGCACAGTCTGAGTGTGGCCTGGGCACACAGGCTCAGCAGGGCAGGAAGAGGAGTAACCAGGACAAGATCAGATACTTCAATGAGCACCTCTGCACAACACTGCACATGTTCCAGAACATGGCTGCCAAGTAACCTCAGAGCTGGCTGTCATTATTATCTCATTTTCAGATTGCAAGATGGGTTTTGGCACTCAGGAAGCAGGTTCTGATGAAGGTAGCAAAAGTGATCTACCTAGAGGGTCAGAGCTACTAAGCCAGGACTGCCGCCAGATGCTTCTCATCAGTTCCTGAGACCCTGGGAGCGAAAACTGCCCTTAACATTACAGAAGGATGAGGTGGCACACGCAAGAGCCTGAGGAAGCTCAGCCAAAGCAAGGCAGGTCCTGCACCTGCACAATGCCCAAAGCCTCAGATATGAGCAGATGCGGCTGCCAGCCACATTTCACACCAGGACCTCATTTCTGGAATATCCTGAATGACTCAATGGAATAGATGCTGGCCAGAGATGAGCTGGAGACCAGCCTGCTTCTCTACCCACGGCATCCCAGGAAAGAAGGGGCCAGAAGCAAAGAACATTTGTAGCCACAAGAACAGCAAGCTCAGCGTCACCTGGATGAAGAGGTAGATCAACAGGCAGCACAGAGCCCTTAGTGGGCTCTCCACAGCCTGCAGCTCTTCCCTCGAAGAGGAGAGACTGAAACAGGACAGGAGTATATCCAGGCGCTGCGCTTGCACGGCCGGCTCCTCGTTCATCCACAGGATTTTCAAACTAGGTGTTCCTCCTGTTAAAAAGGAAAGAGAGGTTCATTTATTGTTATTCTCTGCACAACAGAGTTATAACATGCTTCTAGGAAACAATAAACAGAACACTAATCTCTTCCCTTCCTAATACATGAGGGGCTCAAAGCTTAAACCAAAATGCAAACATGAAAAAAAAAACTTCCCAGTTTAAAAGAAAAAAGAACTCTAAAGGGTCAGCATGCACATCTCACTGAAAATCTGTCTTCTTCTTTGTGAGGCTGGGGAGAGAATCCAGGGCCTCAAGCGTACTAGGCAAGTGCTCTACCACTATACCCATGGCCTAGCTCTTTGCTTCTTGGAGATGAGGGTCTTACTGTATTGCCCAAGCTGATCTAGAACTCGTGATTCCCCCATCCGCAGCCTCCTGAGTAGCTGGGATTACAAGTGAATACCACCATATCCAGCTCTTCTTTTTAATAGTTACATTTTGAGAAAAACCAGAAGCTTTTGCTTCTATCCATGTTTTGCTCTCTACTGTTAGGAACACATCCCAGAAGAGATGTCAGTGTGCCAGTCCAGGTGATCAGAATGCAGCCAGGCATGGGAGCACATGCCTGCAATCCCCGCACTCTGGGAGACTAAGGCAGGAGGATCCCAAGTTCAAGCTTAGCCAGGGCAACTTACAGACTTAGTGAGATCCTGTCTCAAAATAAAAAAAAATTTTAGATGGCTGGGGATTATAGCTCAGTTAAAAGGCCCTGTGTTCTCAGTACCAGGGAGAACACGGACAGATGGGGACAGACACACGGACATGGACACACACACACACACACACACACACACACACACATCAACAAAACAAAGGGCTGTTGTGTTGGAAATGCAGTCCATTCACCCCTTCCTCCATATCAGCGTTTTTTAGACTTTTGTGTACAAAACAGCCAGAAACTGAGTTAGTTGCATTTTCCTGGAATCTTTGTGAATCTTCTGATTTAGAGTGCTGTGCTCTTAAGGAGTCTACATTTTAACAACTCCAAAATCACTTCCCTAAAACCACAGTATTTGACAAAAGGAAAGTCCTTCTTAGTGTTTTATATATACATTTAAGTTAGTAAAATCGAGAGAAATCCTTAAAGCTTACTTAAATCAGCAAAAATCACAGGAGACTCTGGATAGGGCACTGAGTGGACACTGGTGGTTAGCCTCTGAGCAACAAGAAAATGCCAGAATGAGACCTAGGTCAGTAACACCTTCCGTGACCCCGGCAGGGGCAGCTGCCTGTCAGGGCCACTGGCTGCGCAGCACACACCAGAGCACAGGGACAGTCCTGCATTTCACCAAAGCAAGCCCTGATGACCAAATGGCAACAGAATCTAAAAGCTCAGAAAAAAGTTCTTTCACTTTCTCCTTTTGTTTCTCATAATGTCACTCTCTATTCTCAGTGGTGCATTTCCTAACTTCAAAGTGAAAACAACTCAGCAAGTTACTTGCCCTTCTGAAAAGACCAAAGTGTTCCTCCATAAGACAAGCCTTCTCACTATTTATTCTGGAGAGAAATAAAATGCTAACCACAACTAAGACCTCTGTGGGACTAATACTTAAGATATGGATAGTGTTCCAAGGTAATCACAGGCAGCAGCATGTACATGTCAGAAACACACTCCAGGGGAAATCACAGGCTAATACAGGGACCTGCTCCTGGGAGCCAAAGCTTAACCAGCTGCCTATTTTAGTCATCTACACAATTTTAAATCATTAGGGATGAAAGGAAATATTTCCTAATACAAGAGAAGAACACAAAATCCCAATTTCAAGGCTTATAAAGCTTTACTGAAATGCTGCTGTACTCATTTGTGTCCGTATTCCTTGTGGTTCCTTCCACATTTTAAAGACAAAGTAACGGAAACCATAAGACCTGCAGAGCCTGACATACATATTTACTAAAATATTACTTTTAAAAACAATGTCTGCTAACCTCTGATCTAAGGGAAGTAATAAATCTTCCATTACCATAGTTATTTCAAATATATAAAGTATTTAACCTTTTCTGGATTGGAAAAGACACACTGTAAAAAAAATTTTTTAAAACACAAAAGCATAAAACAAAATAATCTATAGCCTCCCACCCAGATACTACCATAGTTTGGAACACAGCTTCTCCTCCTTTATCAGTCTGTCTAAAGCATTGCAAATACAGTTAAGAGGCCGGGTCTCATCAAAACACAGGGATGAATGGGAAAACATCGCCTGGGTTTCATTGGTTTACACACAGAGATGTAATACAAAAATGGAGACTCATGGGGCATGTTTAGGGTCAGGGCTGTACAGCAGAAAGAACTGGCAATGAAGAGTAATGGTGCTGACTCATGGCCCTGTGTATTCGTCTTCTCCAGGGACAAAGATGGCCTTAGATTTTCAAGCATCTGCCTAACAACAAAAGACAGGAGAGAAAGACACACAAACTTAGGCACTGCTTAACAGATTCTTTTTCACCTCTTGTTTCAGAAGTTTCTATAAAGGCTAAAACCTCATGATGCCTCTCACTCTACTTGCAGGGACTGATTTCACCACTCCAGGTGCCTTCCCCACCTGAATGGCCCTGTGGAAGATGAACAGCTGCCACCCTGGGAGGTTCTGCAGGAGAAAGTCACAGAAACAAATAACAATTCAAGAATGCAAAGGTTTACTAGGGGAATACTGACAGGCAAAGGGAATAATGAACAAATGGGGGCAGAGGCCCTGAGAGGGTTTTGTAGAGAAACAGGCACATAAGGGGCTGGCTCTGCTGGATGAAAGATTCTTCTGGGACTGAAAGGAGACAGGGAGCAGTTGTCATGTGATGCAAACCTCCTGTCTTCCTCCCTCCTGTCCACCCACCAGTCAATCATCCATGCAACCTCTGCTTCTGAGAACTACCAGTGCATGACCCATGGCTGGTGCTAAAGACACACGTGGGAATGAAGGAGACTTTGGTAGCCTTCAGAGAGCTCAGTCTAGAGGAACACAGGGGAATGAGCCAGATGATCACACCAATAAAACTATGTTGAAGGCGTACCATGAAGAAGAGAGATAAGCTAAGGCTGAAGAGAGGACCTGGCTAAGATGAAGGGGGATATTTGGGGAAGGGAAAATCAACTGCGAAGGTCTTTATCCAAAGAGTAACAGGAATAACTGAGGGCGAGTCCAAAGGAATGTTACAATCAGGTCTGTGCTTTCAAAGGGGACTCCGGATACAGGGGGGACTGACTGGAGAGATGTCAAACAGGAAATGGGAAGAGGGCAGATGGGAAGTAGCAGACATCTCCAACAGATTAAAGAGAGGCTGAGGAGGCATAAGACTGGATTTGTGGCAAAAAGAAGGTGGTGACATTCACTGCAGTGGAAAATGGTACCATTTCAAAACCCAGGTCTGCAGTATGGCCACTTAGAGACTAGCAGAAAACCCAGAACTGCAGGGAGACTTTAACTGCAGTGGAAAGGCAGACTGACTCTTTTGGCTCGTAGCCTACAGAGGCTATGACATCTTTGTAAACAAAGAAGCTGGTAAACAATTGATAAAACCAACAGTTCTATTTTTCTTGTCCCCATGTCTTTTATTAGACTAATCGCCACCATATCATTTGGAAACTTAGAAATACAAAACCTTGGCCCCATCCCATAATCCTTGATTAGAAACTATGGGGATGGGAGGCACAATTGTGTTTTAACACTTGGGGCCGGAGATTCTGATGTACAGAGAGTCTGAATACCACTTAAAATCCTTAGAGAGGCTAAGAAGGACACAGACAAAAAAGAGGAACTTGCTGATAAGAAACTGTCCCTTCCAGGAGGCCTAATGATGTAATAGATTACAGAAAACCACGAGTGAGAAATTGCACCCTCATTCATCTTCATAACAGAGAATTTTCACCTCAAATTCAATTTTTTGTCAAGAGAAATTGGTATGTATCAACAGAAGAGATGAAGCACCTCAGTTTCCTCCAGATGCTTGTCCCTAACAGAAGATGTCATACCTCAAAGTTCCCATCTCCTGACATTTCAAGTGGAACTTTCCCCAGGGCACAAGTCCTCTGCTCACCCTGCAGAAAGGCCGAGGTGTAGTTTTTTTTTTTCTTTTCCTAAATGTAATGAAATGTCAGCTCCTTGTGCAATACAGAGATTTACTTCTCAGTTGACAAATCTCCAGTTATCCTCACCGAGGTAGCATGAGAATGTTTTTGAAGCAACATTTGGATTAGTTCTCTTCTAAAGTAAGCTCTCTCTTAAGAAAAATGGGCAGGGTATGAAAACCTATGCTGGCTGAGACTACCAAATGAGAAGGAATTTAGTAATTCCAGTTTAAAGGAAACTTTTTAACTACAGTTGAAAGGCAGACTAACAAAGTTAGTGTGGAAGAGAACTATATACACACAAAGACATAGTCACATACATGCACATTCTCACTCATTCACACACATGTACATATATATACACACACACACGTATGTGCACACTCATGCTTGCCTCTACACACGTGCATGCATAATCACAATCACATGCACTGGGACACTCACTCACACTCAGACACAGACAGACATCCACACATTCAGATACATATTCATACACATGCACTCATGCTCACACACTCAACTCATTGTAACAGGCACACACATTCACACAAGTACATGTGCAAATGCATTCTCACACTCACTTTTCACAATCTCTCACCCACAGACACACACTTTCGCTGTCATTTAGCAATGCGCAGCCTCATTCACTCACACATGTGTGCACATTCTCATATACTCAGCCTCACAGCTCTCTCACTTGCATACATACTCAGCCTCAGCCGCGCTGTGGGAGATGAGCAACTGCAGAAGCCCTCCTCACATTCGAAGCCTGTGTGGGCAAGTGAGGCCCACTGCTAGCAAGCACTCTGCTCACCAGCCCCAGCCGCACCTACAATTTCAGCTTCAAACCCGACTATGTAATCTGCTAACAGTCCTGATGAAGACAGCCCATTATGGGGCTTTTTTCTTTGTTTTTTTTGAGACAGGGTCTCACTATGCAGTTCAGGGTGGCTTTGAAGTCATTATGTAGCTGAGGCTGGCCTCAAACTTACAGTGATCCTCCTGCCTCAGCCTCCCGATTGGTGGTGGGATTACAGGTGTATGCTATGTGTCTTTTAAAGAGGAATGGAGCCCCGAGGCCAAGCAAGGAGTCACTGCCTTAAAAAACCCAACTGGAGGTCTCCACCTTGTGGGGGTGGGGTAGGGTGGGGTGGCATGCTGGGGACATAAAACCATGTCCCATTTTTACAACCATAAACAAAAGTGAGTACATGAAGACAAGCTAGAGGGTAAGCCACAGCACTATGTGCTTTTTATATGGAAATAAGTACTTTAACAGCTGTGTTTTGAAGTTATTTTAAAATTATTTTCATTGTATATTCTTAGGGTGAAAAAAACACAAAACTACCTGACTTGCTTCATGCCTAAGGTTCGTCTTACAATGAGCACATGGAGGCTGCTCTACCTGGGATGGTCATCTGCAGAGGCCTGACGAGGTCTGGGTGCCTCAGCGGGTTTCCAGGGTACACGAACCACTCCTTGACCACTGGGTAGGTGGCACTGGCACCATCTGAGGAAAGATAGCACGTCAGTAGGTGAAAGTTCCTGGCCCACGAGCACTTGTCAGCTTCTCAAGTGTATCTTTTCCTGGAAAGGCTGGGCATGACATGTTGTCTTCTTCCTTTCCGGTCACTGGGACAAAGTACCTGATATAAATAAGTATCTTTCAGCGGTCACTGACTCAGGGTTTAAAATGACTCAGTCCAGGTGAGCTGGCTCTAAGGCAGAAATGATGGGGAGGTGAGGTAGGACAGAAGAAACGAAAAGTACACAGAAGGGAGACAAGCAAATTCAAATTTTAAAATTATACTTTTAAGAAAAACTACAGCTTCTAAGACAAGCCTTTTTCCTTCATTTAAGAAAAGATAATTCCTAAAGGCCCTTTTGCAATAGTGTAAATTGGGGCTCTGGACCGGTTCCTTTCACCTGTAAATTGTGCTTCCTCCATCCTCTGGCAGCAACACTGGAGGGCAAGATAATCTCAACTTTAAACACATGCGGACAGCTTGCACTGTAACCTGACAGACAGCAGGAACACACATCCCGGTCAGCCATCTGGATGACAGCCCTTTAAATGTGCCCTGCTCCCACACCCAGAAAATTCCTTCTCCATGATTTCTTTTTTTTTTTCATTTTTTGGTACCGAGGATCGAACTTGGACCCTTGTGCTTGCAAGGCAGGCAGCAGAACCACTGAACTAAATCCCCAGCCCCCTTTTCCATGATTTCAGCCAGCAAACCTGCCAATTTATTTTAATCAATTAACCTATCACTTCCACTAATCTGTTTACACACAATACACTCATATGTCTGGTTATTTGTTTTATACTGACTATTTTTTGCATCCTTTCTTATTTAGAGCATTGTATTCTCTTTTGGTATTTGTATCTAGTGAAATCCAGTAAATTCTGGTTATTTTCTTTTATTAATTGATGTTTATTATTGATGTTATTGATTGATGTTGATTTTATTTACTAATTGATATTTAATTATGTTTGTGAGAAATAATCTATAATTTTGTACTACAATTGATAAACTCTTATCCTAAGTACATTAGATATAATTTTTATACTTCTCCAGAACTCAGTGATATTCTTTTACAGTACGAAACAGACTGGTTGAGGCACTGAGACTGAATAGGAAGGAAGTGCCAAAAGATCTGCAAAAGTAAAAACTGAAAAAGGGAGAGATGTTAGCGTACCAGAGAGGAAAAGTCTGTTATGAAATGGAAAGACAAAAAAGATGTCTCTTTATTATCAACTATTCATAATACAGAGATGATAGAACTTGAAAGAAGAAACAAACCGGAAAAATTCCAATAGCAGTTAGTGATTATAACAATTCTACGGGGGTGTTGACAGAGTTGACTGTCATCTAACAAGCTATACTGTAATCAAAAAGCAAGGAAAAAATTAAAATATTTATGCACCTTCTGGACGAAACAATATGGAACTCACTTGTTATTTATTCAAAACAAGAGGGCTCAAAAAATCATTTACAACTTAGATTAGGCCTAGAAGAACAAATAATAGAAAAATACAGGACAGCAAAACACCAACCTGCAGGACGTCCATCATCCACGTCATCACCATTATGTTTAGTAGTCAGATATTTTATTGAAATTACGCCACCCACAGAAAAAAAAGGAAAGGCTAACACAATAGTGTAAAGTGTGTTGTTCAAAGAAAGACAATAATGCAAAAAGAATTTGGAAAAAGACTAGTTACTACTGTCTAGATTGTAATGCTGTGTCGTGTACTGAATATCTTAAGATGTACTGTACACAAAAAAATTATAAAAGAATAAATTTGATAAAATTGTCATTTTTATATTTCCTGTTATAGTCTCATAAAAATTAATTTAAAATATGCAATTTTTGGTCATCCTGTATTTAAATAACTGAACTGGTAAGTCATTAAAAAGGTGAGACAGGTTCCTATCTCAGCCTTGGGTACTTCACAGATCCAACGAGGTGACAGTGAAAGGACATGGCAGAGGAAAGCTCTTCACTCCAGGGTGCAGGAAAGCGGGGGAAAGAGATGTGGACAAGAACCGAGGTCATGCTCCAGCGACCTTCCTGATCTGAGGGGGCCCCCACCCCCTCACAGCACACTGAGCTAGGAACTCATCAGTGAGTTAATCCACAATGAATACAGCACCCCATGAGCCAATCTCCTTCCAAAAGCCCTGCATCTGAACATGGGAGACTTCCGGGGGCACTGTAGATCTAAACTGTAACACACAATCATCAACAGCCTCTCCCTACCTCAAGGTGAGGGGGATCATTCAATCCAATGAGGGCAACACTGCAAATGATTCAACAGGTCCCAGGATGCCTCACCCTGCTTGCTGAAATGCTATGAGAAAACTGCTGGGATATGAGAGTCCTTTCTGGTCTGGAGCTTACTATCTTAAACCATTATCAGTACTGAGATTACTCAAAAAGCTGGTAGCAATAACTAAGAACAAAGGTATTTCAGTATGCTGGATGATTATGATAAAAAGTTCAACTGAACTTAGGTCTTTTACCTCACTCAACAAAGCCAATGTGAAAGGAAGACTTTTGTCAACAGTCTCACCCAGTCTGTCTTGGAGCCATCAATTGCTGCAGCTACCATTTTCCATCCTGTAGTGGAACTGACCTGTTGCCTGTCCCCATGGGGTCCCATCCTCAGAGACCTCTCTGTAACTACTGGCTTTTCTCCTGTGTCCTGCGCCTCTTACCTTGGCTCCTCTAGGCTCCAGCGCCCCACACTGCACACCTCTCTGCAGCTACTGCTTTGATCCTGTTTCAACTCCAACAGCTTTTTCCTTGCTTACTCCTTCAGCTCACACTATTCTACCAGGATGGCGATGCCAGCACCAGCCACGGCCTCCTGACTTTAAAACCCAATGGGTGCTATGGAGTCTCTCTGGCCTCTGCCTGTGAGTGTCCATGTCCCTCTTGGGCTCCTCCCTACCTGGTCTCCTTTCCTTTGCAGAGATGATCTTTTCTTGCCAGTCTCTAAACACCAGCCCTGCCCTGGTGCACATCCCATACCTGTGTCTCTAGACCAGTCCTCATTAGCTCTGGATACCTACACCACAGAACAGAGCACCAGTGGCACTCCCTGGTCACCATGAGCAGATACATAACCTCTACTTCCTTATGGAATCCTTACTACCTACAGATGTGTATTACAGAAGGAGAAGATGGCCTAGAGAGGGAAACACTACTATGTCTAGTCAGCAGAGCACTGGTATGAGCCAGTCTCCAGGACTCCACCCAATTTCTGTGCCATACTCTTCCCACAGGTGTCTTAGTGCTAACAAGACCAAAGCTGAACTGACCCTCTTCACTTCACAAACCTTTTGCCTATCCTGCTCCCTACCTCAATGAAGGGCTTCCAAGTCCCACGGCTTTTGGCTATGCTCTTTCCTTTGTCTCTTCAGATGCTCAGGCCTGGAAGAAGAATGCTCTGCACCCTACCAGAGCCTGTCCTCCACACTGGCAATGCAGTGACCGCAAGGCTGTCTCTGCCCAGACCAGTTGGAACAGACCCCTGCTCAATCCTTGTCTACTCTCACACTCCCAGCCAAGCCAGTCTCCAATGTACAGCAGGGAGGCTTCTTGTTCTTTAGTTTTATGTGCTTTTTTGGAGACTTGCTATGTAGCCCAGGCTGGTCTCAAACTTGTAGTGATCCTTCTGCCTCAGACTCCTGAGTGCTGAGATTACAGATATGTACCACCATACCCAGCTCCCTTTAGTTATTTTGTTTTTTGGGTTTTCTTGTACCAGCAATTGAACTCAGGACCTCGCGCTTGCAAGGCAGGCAGTGGAATCACTGAGCTAAATCCCTCGTCCTCTCTTTAGTTTTTATAAAATGAAATCCAGGCTGCTTCCTAGTTAAGATCTATCAAAAGTGACCCAAGGCCCTCAAATATGAACACAGGTCTGCCTGCCCGCTGCTTGTCTCTGCCCCAGGAGTTGTCACGGCAGGCTGTGGGCATCCCCAGAGGCCGTGTGGAGGGATGGATCAGGGCCCACTTCCAGCAGTCCTGATTCCTGGTTTGTGCTGGGGCTCTTATCTCTAAGCCATGCCCAGGCAATGGGATGCTTCTGGTCTGGGGACCTCACTAAGAATACACCATGCTTCAGCCACACTGCAGGCCCACAGATCTTTCAACTCACAGTGCCCTCCTGGCCTGCATGCCTGGCTTTGGAGTTCCTCTGGTTCAAAACTACCTCTCCTCACCTACACTTGGCTGGCTACTATCTCTGTATGCCTCCTTCAGAAACTAGTCCTCAAAGATGACACTTCCCCAACCTCAGTGCTTTGGCTGGCTGCTAAAATGCTGACATAACTTGGTGTGATGTTCATGCCTGTAATTCCAGTGCTCTGGGAATATGAGACAGGAAAATCACAAATTTGAGCCCAAACTAGGCAATTCAGCAACTTAGTGAAACCTTGTCTCAAAATAAAATTTAAAAAGGCCTCGGATGAACACAGTGCAAAGGCCCTGGGTTTAATCCCCAGCACAAAAAACAAAACAAAACAAAAATGGTTTACTTGTGCACAGGCCACCCAACCCAACTGTGAGTTCCTGCAAGCAATGACCCTCTGTTCTCACAGAAAGACAGACCACAAAACATTCAATTTGGCCTAAATTTCACTCCTTGAGAGAGGGAAAGGTTGCTTTCGACAGTCCCTGAATGCATAATGTCCTATACTTGTACTGGTTCTACAAATTCACCCGGAAGGACACTGTCAACTCTCCCGCCCTTGGGAAGTTGTTGTTAACTAAAACGACACTGCTTAGAATTCAGTACGGACAGCTATGTGCTATACAGACCTTTGCACAGGTGAAACTCCTAGCTTCTACCTGCAAAATGATAAAAACTGAATCAGGCTGACCTGATTTTTCATTGTCTGTATGAGATTTTATCTGAAACTGGTAAATTCCAGGAAAGAACTTGGTAACAAACATGAACAGAAATAAAAACTGTATTTTCAGAGGGTCGGGGTATAG